AGAAAGAGCAGTAAAAAGGACACAGGTAAGTGCTCTTTATACCTCAGGGACAGGAACAGGAAGCAAAGCCTGATTTTCTAAATATTATTAGATGTTTAATTATGTATACTTGTGTCTGTGTGGATGTATGCACACGTGTACAGGTGCCTACTGAAGCCAGAGGCATCTAATCCTCCTGGACCTGGAGTTGCAGGCAATTGTGAACTGCCTGACATGGGTGCTGGGAACTGAACTTGGGTCCACTACAAGAGCAGTATATGCTCTTAACCACTCAGCCATCTCTTGAGTCCAGTAGAGAATATTTAAAAAGACTTCTGGTTATCAACAACTTCTTCCAAGTATTTTCTGTAACCTCTCAGAACAGATGCTACCATTAGAAGATGGTTTAATTAGAAGGAGGAAGCCTGGTATGGTGGTCACCTGTAATCCCAGCACCTGGGAGGCCGACGCAGGAGCACTGTGAGTCTGAGGCTAGAGTGGGACACATGGCAAGACTGTCTCTCAAAAGAATTTTAAAGAGGATTGATGATTGAACTGCAAACTGTAGCAGTGGGGGCTGCAGCCTGAGGTGGAGGCTTGATCACTAACTGAAAAACCACAGCTCCAGCCTGCCCAGCTTCCAAGGTTAAGCTATTTGGTACCATATTATTTTAGATCTGAGTACCTACATTTTTCTGATCAGGCCAATTTTTTAATACTCCACTATTCCCGTCAGTGTGCCACAAAGCAAACGATTTAGCAAAGGGTGCTTGCTCTCAAAGACTATGTTAGACTTACTTGACAGACACCCCCTCTTGTGTGATGCACATCCTTCAGAAGGCACATAGGAGGGGAGTGTTTAGGGAGAGACACAGAATGCCTCAGCTCAATCATCTGGAGGTGGAAAGAAGCACCTCCCATAGGCACGATTCAGTTGATCAGGGAAAGAGCTGATCCGTGGTAATTTGCTACATAAACAAGGCTTTTGGCATCTAAGCCTCTAGTGCATCACAAACTTCCTGCTATTATCTAATAACAGCACCGCCCCCCCCCACCACCATCACTTGTTTCCAGGGTAACCGACAGAGAAATAGCAGCCTGCCAAATGGCTTTTGTAGTTCCTTTTCCAGTTTGCTCTTCTGTATAGAATTAGAGATAGATGGGAAAAGAACCAGGCTAATCTTTGCAAACAGGGACATGATGTAGTTTGAAAAGTACAACTAGGCTTGGAACAAGAATACAGAAAAGCTTTCATGAACCCGCCCTGATGGGAATACAAAAGGTCTGTTGGCATGTGTTTGGTTAGCTTTCCCTTGGTCTTAGGATGTAACAGGCCAGCAATGCCAGTCTCTAACCGGCTTGGACAATGAAGGGAGAAAAATCCACACCTTGAAAAGTTCCTCATTTAATCCCACAGAGAAGCACTGACTGCACTGACTCCATGAATCAGAGGTGCTGGTACACAGGGAACAAAGATCACCTTACCATCTCAGCAATGGGGAAGCCATTCAAAATACAGTGTGGACCTGGGGCAGCTTTCAGATCAGCAGCCTCAGACTGCACAAGGTGCCAGACTCAAAAGCAAACTGCTGCTGCAGAGGTGAAAGAGTTGGAACTTGTGGAAAAAAATAGACTATTTCTCTTGCTGGACACTGTGGTACATGCCTATAATCCCAGCACCAGGGAGATAAAGACAGGAAGGTCCAGAGTTCAAGGCCAACCTTGGCTACAGGAGTCCCGGTCTCAAAAAAACAAAGACAATTTTTCTTTGAAAGTAGCACCAAACAAATTCTTTTGTCTCAGAACTACATAATTGTATGAAGTACGGGAAATCTTTTGACTTCTGTCTGCTTCAGATGAGAAACTGGTCTATAGCGAAGTTACCCTGTGTGTATCAGATCTGTCCTGATGAGAAACTGACTCAAGTCAGACAAGTGTTAGCTTCTCATCTAATAGGTCAAAGCTAATAGGAGCTTGAAAGAGTCCCTCCCACAACCTTTAATGTATCTCAAACGTCTTGTTAGCAGACAGGAAAACTGCACTTGATAGTGGCAATCAGAGATAGGTCCCTAAGAGTATGAAGAGTCAGACTCCTCAAGTCCCACATGGAAGATTTAACTTACACTGTTTAATGTGCACTTTCACTTGGGGTGTATGAATCATGAGTCTTGTTCTCAGAGCTTTTACCTGAGTTTAGACAGAAAAGAAGACAAAGATTTGCAATAGCTAGTTCCCTTCAATCCTTCAGAAAAGGGCTCATTTATAATTTAAAGATGAATGCCCTGGGGGCTAGAGACAGCTCAGTGGTTAAAAGCACTGGCTGCTTGTGCAGAGGACCAGGGCTCAGTTCCCAGCACCCACATGGTAGCTAACAACCACCTGTAACTCCAGTTCCAAGGGATCTGACACCCTCTTCTGGCCTCTGCAGGTACTGCACACACATGGTGCATGTACATATATGTAGGCAAAACACTCATAAAGTAAAAAATTTTTTATAAATGTATGCCCTAAGAAATATTTCCATGGCTGTCACTCAAAGGAAGATTCTTGCACAGCTGGAGCTCTAGATTTTGGAATCTGTTACTGAAGCCTAAGTGAGGTTTTCTAAAAGTTTAAACTTGTCTTCTGTTTACCTAAGAGTGGAACTTCTAAGCTATATTCAATGTGTGATTATAATCTCAAATAAAATAACATTCAATTTCTCAATCTCCAACAAAATCAGAACTGAGTGCATACATATGAACTGTGCCAAATTCAATCAGAGTTAAAATGAGGCCAGAAGCCAAAACTTCCTAGAGCCAGTAACCTGTGGTACTGACATGTTTATATTTCTTCACAAACCCATTTCCTCAGCCAACTTTATTTCAAGGCCTCAGATAAATTTTCTTACTTATGGGATGTACTGTGTTGTTACCAAATCACTGCACGGTTAGAGTCCACAGTCGCTGCTGCTGGACAGTGAGGGGACGTGGTCACAATGTTATCACCTGTGCTTCCACCAGGTTCCTGCAAACAGGCTCCAGGAAGCTGAGAAGAGACGGCCTCAGTGTGGACAGTCTTCCTCTTAAACACATTTTCTCCACACAATTACCCCCAGAAACAATGCTGCCTGTGTTTGCTGTTTGCTGACCACATATACACCTACAACTTAACAAGTGTACTACCAACAAATCACTCTTGTTCACCATATATTGGGTTTGGTCTTGTTTTGCTTTGTTTATGATACTGCTTACAGAACTCCCAGTCTTGCACATGCTAGACAAACACTCTGCCACAGAGCTATTAGGAGAGAATGAAGAGTTTTGGCTGCTGGGAGGGAAAAATGAAGGGGTATTTCTGGGCAGTGAAACACTGCTAATGTTTAGCAGTTAGGAACTGCTTGTGCACTGAAACTACCCAGAAAGTACACTTTGGGAATTCTCTCCATCTATAAATAGACCCCCAATTTTTTTTTTCAAAAGGAGGTGGTGGTGGATGTATGTGAGTAAAGAACCAGTAACTGAAGACTTAAATACTCAGCAACAAAGAAAATAACTGTAAAGAATGAAAAGACTAGGACTATACCAAAGCTTGCACATACTACCACTGGGTGGAGAGCTCCAGGAGGAAAGCATCAGCATGAGAGAGGAGCTCCAGAGGAGGACCACACCTTGCTCATCCAGAGCTACAGTTCCAGCTCCCAGGACCTGTCTAGAAAAGAGCTGATGCTTCATCTGTCTGGCTTGAGAAGAGGGCTTGAACTTAAACATGAGGTGTACGGTGTTCCTCTGCTATTTGTAACACAGGAGTCTTACCAAAGGCAAGAAGAATTTTTCCTGTGTGGCCTCAAGATCTGAGTAGAAGCTGACGTACAGAAGCACAACCATACCTAAAAGTCCACAGCCAGGACAGCACATTCACAGTGCTCACATCAGCAACTAAGAATCCCCTGCCAACAACAACAAGAGCTGAGGTGCAATCAAAAGCAAAGAAAACCTTATCAATGGGAATTATACCAATAAATGGAGCCTGATGTCATATGTGCAAAATAACTCAATATGCTATAAATGCCATGCATGGAAACCCAACTATATTGCAGAAAGGCAACCTGGTTAGGCCTGCTAATTGTATTCTTACAGAAGTATATCTGATAAAGAACAGACAGAAGCTCTGACTAACAGTGAGGTGGCCTGAAGTAGGTCATATTCAAAACACAGCCTGCTGGCCTTCCACACTGACTGGGCCCAATTTAATGATATAAGCTGAATCATCAGGATCTTCGGTTAGGAAAAGATACAGACCCTGGAAACAAGATGAGTTGGTGAAGTTTTCTCTCCTTGGAGTTTCTACTATCTATCTTTGTTCTAAGGTACACTTTTGATTTAAAAACATTAGGGCTGGACTTGGGGCCAATGGCCCTTTATCTTTCAAATGTCATATAATCTATGTGACAGTTAGGATGAAAGGCTGAAATTACAGTCAGTTTAGCTACTGCTTTCCAACCTGAACTTAGACCAACCATCGCATGATAATCTGTCTCGTGCTTCCTCTCTCTCTGAGTTATAGGCTCATGTCTTTCAGGAGACTAAGAAGGGAACAAGGCAACATGTGATGCTCCCTCACAGAAATGTGGCCATGCTACCACAGAACACAAAAATGACAGCTTCTGGAATTTCTTGCTTCAACTACCTTGAGTTACCCATCTGTAACTCCTCAGTCAGAGCCTTTATCACAATTGTAATCATTTAAGTAATTAGTAATATCTGTAGATGCAGCTCTGTGGGGACAAAGGCTGTGTATGTCCTTTCCATCAATGAACATGAGCCCCTGGAACCTGGCACAGGGTAGGCACTTTCTGTTGGATAAGTAATAGGCACTTTGGAAGCCAAATATTTACTGTGGGTGAAGTAATTAGTTGAAACTGTTTTGCCAATAACGTGCAGTTTTATCATCTAGTTCTGAAAATAGGAGCTTTGAGGAGGCCTACATTCGTTATAGAATTAATAGAAGGCAGAGAGAGGTTTTTTGAAAAGGACACTTACAGGTGGGGGCTTCTTCCTCATCTCAAAAGTCCGAGTGGCACCGAAACTGAGTGAAGCAATGACGGGGTACCTCCCCAGTGAGGGCTCGTCATCACTGTGCCAGTCCACACTATCCTTCTCATCCCGGTAGAGGTTGCAGAGCAAGGAGTTGAAGGTGTGGCCTGTGTTCTCCTCAAGACGGCTCTTCAGAGTGCTCAGCACAGGATGCCACTGCAGTCACCAAGTCGCGGCAAGGGCAGGAATAGTTACATCAGATACAAGGGGCAGCCATGTGGAGAACACATAGAAAGGCCAAAGTCAGTCAAGTTATAAGCAAGGCACGGAATAAGCAAACCATTTGCTGCAATGAACAGAAAGCAAGACGAGTTTAGTCTCCTCCCTTGAGTTCTATGCTGAAGCGTGTCAAGCTCTGCCATTTTATGAACACACTAAATTTGGCAAAGAAATACCAAGAAGGCCAGAACCTATCTACCCACTCATCTTTTTCTTTAAATACATGCCCTCTTGAAGATGCAGATGCTGGTTATGTTCAGGGTGGTCACCTTGGAGAGATTACAATGCTAAATGGAACAGTGAAACTGATGTGTGGCCACCCACAGACTCAGGCTCGAGTACACAGTGAGAGAACTTACTACTGGGTACCCTCCATTCAGCCTATTCCTGTCTTATTCTCAATGACAGAACTGTGTTCTTGAAAAACATTTAACACTTAGCATGGTTTACATCCTAAAAACAGAACCTGAAGCCTGGCATGGTAGTAATCCTAGCACTTAGGAGGCTCAGGCAAAAGGGTGGCAAGTCTGAGGCCACTCTGGGCAATGCAATGAAACTCTCACAAAAAACAAAACAAAACAATTCTTTTCCTTTTCTATAAAACAGGACTCATGACATGCTGTCAGGGCTGTAAAGTCAGAGAAGACTCAATCAGATTCCATGATCCTGCTTGCTGTGCACCCCAAGTTCAATGATGTAGTTTGTACTGTCTGATCTGTCTGTCTGGATCTAACACACACACACACACACACACACACACACAGTTAATGAGCTGTTTCTTTGTTCCACTAGAATTCTGTGTCTTTAACTAGTCTCAAGAGCTTTGCACACACTTTAGGACAGTGGTTTTCAAACTTTATCAAAATGATGCCCTGTAAGAACCTTTGTTTTTATGGGTTATAAATATTGCTAGTTACTATATTAAAAATATAGTATACTAAAAAACTAAACTGAGAGTGGTAGTGCATGCCTATAATGCCAGAGAGCCTAACACAGGAAGACAGAGTTTGAGGCCAGCCTGGGCTATGCAGCAAGACCCTGCCTCAAAATAAATACACTATTTGTAATTCACTTAAAATATTTTATTATTTTTATTTTATGTGTATGAGTGTTATGCCTGCATGTAGGTAAGTGCACCCGTGTCATGCAATGCCCGCAGAAGACAGACAAGGTTGTTGGATCCCTGGAACTGGAGTTACAGTTGTTAGCTGCCATGTGGGTGCTGGGATTCAAACCCGGGTCTTCTGCAAAAACAGTCAGTATTCTTAACCACTGAGCCATCTCTCCAGCCCCTGTAATTCACTTAAAATGCAACTAATCTCTACGGTTTATGGAAAATGTTTCTAATTTCAGTACAAATGTGGTAAGTGACATTGTTTTGTAAAACTGTGATATCTGACGTAGCAAAAGATAGTTTTTTCTTCTATCTGCTTCTGCATTGACTCTGCTAAAGTCTGTTTGTTTACAGCCCTTTCAAATAACTGCATCTCTTTGATTATATACCAAAACTCAGCAAGTGCTGATTTTTTGAAAGTTAGCTACAATGCTAAATCTGATACCGCATCTCAGACTTTTCTCATTTTTTTCACATTTAGACCCCAAGGTCTAAATCAAATTTTGATTTACTCTGGTATGATTTTTTTTTTAAATGTCCACCATTGGGCATCTGGAAAATACAGTCACTGACTTTATGGCTGGATATTCACACATTTCATTATACAGTGACAGAAACATCTGTTAATACTGTCACTGAGCTTAGCACAGAAGTTTAGGTAAGGGAAGAGGTCAGGCTCAAAGTAATGGATACTTGTTTTCCCAAAGTCTGGTTTTTACCTGAAAACTCAACTTTTATCAATAATAAATCCTGTCCACTAAACAGTGGACACTGAAATAAAGCCAACTTCATTTATGAGAAAATATCTGTCAAATATTCATATCTGAATTAACAGTCTCTTTGGCAATTATTTTAAGTAAAAATAATCTGTGAAACAAGCAGCTTAAAACAAGCAGCTTTTGTTTTTAAGAAAGCTACATAGGAATAAAAAACACTGGGAAGAGGTGATCCCATCACCCCCAGGAGTGATCCAGGATCAACCTGAGGAGAAGGCAGCACAAAAGGTACTCAATGCAGACTCAGGGAAAGGGAATGCCAGCAGTGCTGGGACCTGTGTGCACTTCAGGAGGACACTGAGCAAGATGGGACTGGCTCTAGACACATGGGCAAAGGGCAAGAGGGTTTTACATGAAACCACAAAGCTACTTGGGTTCTTCCTCCCTTGCCTTCTTCTGCTTCTGCTGCATGATCTCTGGGTCCCTCTGCTTGTGGGCAATAGTAGAAAGCCCATCATCGCAGCACTTTCCCTTTTCCTTCAGGTGAGCAAGCCCACCTGTTTACCTGGGTACCGTAAAGGGTGTCATGGCGTCGGCAGCTGTTCTGACCTGCCTCCTTTGCATCCCCTTGCCCTAGCCCATCACACTTGGTTTTTTAAGAGAGGTGCTTCATGTATACTTCCAGCCTCAGCAAATGTAGTAAGCTGTACTCCACAGTCAGGATTCAAGAAAACTCGTGTTTACTGCTTCATTAGGGCCATTCTTCAATGAAACCAGCATTTTAATTTCTAAAAATTTTAATGACATTTCTTTTTGGTCTTTTTGAGACAGGATCTCTCTGTAGCCCCAGCTGGCCTGAACTCACTATGTAGACCAGGCTGGCCTCGAACTCACCGAAATCCGCCTGCCTCTACTGGGATTAAAGGCGTGTACCACCACACCTGGCATGACATGACTCTGCATGCGTGTGTGTGTGTATAAACACACACACACACACACACACACACACACCATGGCATACTTGTAGAGGTCAGAAGACAACTTTCAAGAATCAGTTTTCTCCTTCCATCATGTGGGTTCCAGGGACTGAACTCGGGCCGTTAGGTTTGGCAGCAAGCACCTCTACCCACTTAGCCATCTCACAGACACTGAAATCAGCATTTTTAAAGCTTTCGGGTGGGCCTGGGAATGCTGATGAGCACAGTGACTACAGTGGTTTTATGGTGATGCCAAGATGCTCAGTTTTATCCAACTGCATTTCTGCAGTATCAGAGCAAATTCAACACAATGAAAATACTATACACTCTCAATACTGCTATGAAAGCAGACTTGTAGTCCCCTAAAAGAGCTCAATGGACTCCCTTCAAAGATCCACAGGTTAGACTTCAAGAACTGCTACGTTCAGAGAACTTCTCTGATGTCTGAGTTAATACTCAGTAGTAAAAGAATGGGTGCTCACCCAAGCACTTGCCTGACTAGCTCGGGGATCTAGCACTGTGACAACATCAAGTTTACAGTACTAAGTCTGCCCCATACTCTTGCCAGGGAAGCATAGGAGCGTCACAGCTTTACCACAATGTGAAACTAAAGCCTGGTTGCCCTGCTGTGGTTATTAACATCACATTCTAAGCAGAAGGTTGGAAAAATGAACAGTAACAAAAGAACTTAGATCAATAAATCAAAAATGTTGTTAAACTAACACGCTCAAGGGAACAAATTCCAAAGTGAAATTCCAATAATAATACCAGCAAGTTGTATTTCCTACTTACTTTGTAGCTTTAAAACTGGATGTATTTGCTTTTATTTATGTGTATATAAGTGTGCCTGCATGAGTTTATGTGCACTACGTGAATGCTGGCACCAACAGGGTCCTGGAACTGGAATTATAGGCCGTTGTAAGACACCTAACATGGGTGCTGGGAACTGAACCCAAGTTCTCTGTAAGAGCAGTAAACACTCTGAACCACTAAGCCATCTCTCTAGCACTTTTATAGCTTTAAATATATCCTCACAGAGAGAAAGATCAGATGCTAGAATTAAACACTTAACAAGAAAACAAGAATGTGAAGGAGAATGGCTTTTCTGACTGAGAATCTCATTAGCACTTGCCTAATTAGCTCGGGAATCTAGCGCTGTGACAACATCGCGTTTGCATTATGTTTCTAAATGGGTATACATTTTTTCTTGGTTATTTTTGGTAGTGAAGTAGAGAGAAAGGGAGTGGAAAAAGGGATAATGAACTGAGGATTAATTTAGACTCTAACCAATACTCTAAATACAGAGCCTTCAGAACTGAATGTCTAAATTAAAATTCAGCATCACCTCACTGCTCAGTGAAGACATTCTATCCTTAAAAGACATTTGAGGAAAAGAGTGTGAGAACATCTAAGTTACAGAAGAGAAAGACTTCAAACAGTATTGAGAGTGTCAGTGGTGCCACAGGGGTGGGTCCAGGTCTACAGTAAGAAAAAGGAGAAGTCAAGCTGGTGGGTGTTGCAGATGGGACTTTCATCTATTTTATACATGGGATTCTTGAATGACTTAGTTTGAACAGAGACAAGTAAGTTTTTAAAACTTTAAAAAAATATTTTATTTTTTTTTATTTTATGTGTATGAATGTATTGCCTGCATGTAGGTAATTATACCCATGTCATGCAATGCACATGGAGGACAGAAGAGGCTGTCAGATCCCCCACAACTGGAGTGATGGACAGTTTTTAGCTGCCATGTGGGTGCTGGGATTCGAACCTGGGTCTTCTGCAAGAACAACCAGTGTTCTTAACCGCTGAGCCATCTCTCCAGCTCCAGAGACAAATAAGTTTTAAAACCTACAGTTGAAGCTGGGTGTCAAGATCGCACCTGTAACCACAGCATTCTGGGAGACTGAGGCAACAGGATTTTGAGTCTGAGTCCAGCTTCAACTACACAGATTTGGAGGCCAGTTTGCGCTATATAGTGAGACCCTGTTACAATTAAAAAAAATAATAATAAAGTACATAAAATGAGCTAAATCCATTAGCAATAAACACACAAAATACCAGATAAAGAATTATAATGTGACCATCTTGCGCACGTGCGCTTGTGCGTGTGCGTGCGTGTGTGTGTGTGTGTGTGTGTGTGTGTGTGTGTCTGTGTGTGTGTCTGTGTATGTGTTTGGAGGGCAGAGGACAATTTCCAGGGTCATTCCATAGGTGCTATGCAGGGTTTTTTTTGTTGTTTATTTCTTGATACAGGATCTCTCACTGGCCTAGAACTTACCAAATAGGCTAGGCTGACTGGTCAGTCAACTCCTCAACATTGGGATTCCAAGCACGTGCCACCACACTGGGTTTTATGTAGGTTTCAGGGATCAAACTTGGGGTCTTCATGCTTGTGTAACAAGCACTTTACCAATTGAGCCATTTCTCCAGCCCTAATTTGACAATCTTAATATCCAAAGGGGGTCTGCCTGAATAAATACATTTATTGACACTAAAAATTGTTAACGACATACAGTTAAGTGAAACATAGCATATATAATTTTTTAAATTTTTTATTCATTTTGGGGGTTTTTGTTTTGCTGGTTTGGGTTGTTTTGTTTTGTGGTGCTGGGAATAAAATCCAAGGCCTTATGCGTACTAGGCAAGCACTGTACAACAGAGCCATATCCCCAACTCATGTTTGAGGAAAGGGTCTATTTCAGACTTACAGTCCTCTGGTCTCATCCAAGTGCTGAGACAGTAAGTGTGCAACATTAAACTAAGCTTGTTTCATAAAAAAAATTCTACACATTTTTTCCTAAAATTAAAAAAAAATAGGTTGTAAATAAAATGTCACTGGAAGAATTATCATAAATGTAAGTATACTTTTTCTTGGGAACAAAGTTTCACTATGTAGCCCTGGCTCATTTGAAGTCATGGTAGCCCTCCTGCCTCAAGCCTCCTGAGTGCTGGAATTACAGGCGCATGCCACCATGCCTGGCAATATTCCCCTTTATGCTTATTCATGATTACTAAGTTTTCAATAATAAGTACATATTACTTTCACTATTGAAAAAGGCTTGTCACTGAAAAAAATTACCTTGAAAAGTTGTCAAAAACAAATGCCTCTAGAAGACTGGAGAGATGGACGGCTCAGTGATGAAAAGCACTGGCTGCTCTTGCAGAGGACCCAGGTTCGGTTCCCAGCACTCACATGGTGGCTAACAATCATCCATAACTCCAGTTCTAAGGGATCCAACACCCTCTTCCAGCCTCTGTGGGCACTTGCAGGTGTACTTACATACATGCAGGCAAAATACTCGTATACATAAAATAAAAAAATAAAATTTGAACACAAAATTCCAAAACAAATGCCTCTAAAGTGAAAGACAGTATTCAGCAAACCTGTGTGGCTTATGTTTACTCTAAAATTGGCACTTCTTAAGGAAAGGCATCTGTGCCCCCAGAAACACAAGGCCATGTGTACCGAGAAAGCCTATCCTGAAAGATGAACTAGAATGAACAAAAAGAACATCCCTACAGCCTGATGAGCCCCAACTTCACTGCCGTGGCTACTGGCAAGGAGGTGACTGTGCCAGGAGGAGGAGTGGCAGTCCACAGTGGGCTGGCCTGCTTCATTCTCCCAGCATTTCCAATCCACCACAGGTGAAGAGGGTCTCCACATCTTCTGAGGCCACAGTCTAAATTCAGCTCTAGAAACTAACCACACCAGAAACCAGAGCCCTTTAAGGCAAAGCCACACAACTCCCAGTGCTTTCTCCTGGGCTTTAGTACACTGGGGGTTTGTGCTTACATCTTGCTAGAAGCCCTAAAACATGTCACATTTCTGTGTATTCGGGTGAATAAGCAAAACTCCATTTTCTTCAAAGTCTCTTTCAATAAAGCATAACATTTTTGTCAAAGGCAAGATTCCAAGAACTAAACAGGGAGCTATTTCTTGAACCTTAGCTCTATCCTCTGGACAAGCTTATTTATATACTAAAATATCCTTGTCTGCTGACATGGATTCTTTTTTTTTTTTTCTTTTTCTTTTTTCTCCCTCCCTTTTTTTTTGAGACAGGTCTTACTATGTGACTCAGGCCTGTCTTGAAGTCATGATCCCCCTTGCCTTAGCCTCTAGAATTCTGGGATTAGGGATTACAGGAATATATACAATCATGTCCAGCTGTCACAAAAATTTCAAAAACAAAAGAAGTGGGGCTGGAGAGATGGCTCAGCGGTTAAGAGCACTGACTGCTCTTGCAGAGGACCCGGGCTTGATTTCCAGCATCCACATAGTGGCTACGAATCATCCTTAACTCCATTTCCAGGGGAATCTGAAGCCCTCTTCTGACCTCCACAGCACTGCACGACACGGGTGCACTCAAATGGCAATACACTCATACACATAAAATAAAAAAGACGTAGTAGAAATAAGCCAAAGTGGCAGTAAGTTAGAAATCTGGAAACTGTCCCTAAAGAATAAAGCTAACAAAAACCTGAGATTTTTCACAAATAGCAAAAGAGCCTGCAAAATTAAAAGGCACTGTACCAGTTGTAAAAATGTAGCTGCATAGCCATAGCACATCTGGGTGTTCACAGAAGGTTGGCCAAAAATGCCAAGGGAGGGAAGAGTTGGCAAGAAATAGACTATGTTCTAGTCTGCTTCTCTTCTGCTGTGATAAAACACTGATCAAAACAACTTGGGGGACTGGGGACTTATTTCAGCTTACAGGTTACAGTCCATCACTGAGTGAAGTCAGGGCAGGGGCTCAAGGCAGGAACCTGGAGGCAGGAACTGAAGCAGTGACCATGGAGGAATGCTGCTTATTGGCTTACTCAACTAGCTTTCTTATATAGCCTAGGCCCACCTGCCTATGGATGACACTGCCCACAGTTGTTAGGCACTCTCATACCAATTAGCAATTAAGAAAATGCTTCAGAGACATGCCCACAAGCCAATTTGATAGAGGAAACTACTCAACTGAGGTTTCCTCTTCCCAGGTGATTCCAGTTTGGGTCAAGTTGAGAAAAACTGGCCAGCTCAGCTGAGATTCTGGACCAGAGTCCCTGTTTTCTGTCATATCCTCTGAGCTCTTCTACAGATCAAGAATAAAAAAATGACAAGAAGCCAAAAGTTCAATGTTTTTACCCAAAGGGTTTTCTTAACTGGGAACCATCATGTGTCTCTACAATGTAATTTATTATTTATCTATTATTATAGTACTCAATACTTAGTCCAGAAAACCACACCAATGCCAGCATTTCAACATACGTGAGGATTTGGTTCCATAGTGATTCTTGAGTAAGTGTAAGGAAGCTCTCCATACCATGCTGTAAGTCTTGGTTGCGGATAAGTTATATCTAAGAAAGAAAATACAGGGCTCTTGAGACAGTTTGGTGCTATTTAAGGTGTGCCTGCTGCCAGTCAATCTGTGCCTTCACTGTGCACAAAGCATGAGAAACACAAAGCAAGAGGATGTCCCACAGTCCTGTCCTCACAGAGGACACGGGAGGTGGCAAGCTGAGTGGAACGGGAAGGGAGAGAAGGCATGCTGCAGAAACAGCCTGGGCAAGGGAATGTGTGCGACTTGTTTGTTTCAGTGATGGCAAACAAGAATCTCAAAAAGCAGAAGAGGAAGCCTGGACCCTTGTAAGGAGGAATCTGTGTAGCAACATCCATGTGAAAAACTGTTCACCTCTGCACCCAACCAACACTGTATATTGAGTTTACTTTGATCCCAGCACTCGGGAGGCAGAGGCAGGCAGATCTCTGTGAGTCAAGGCCACCCTGGTCTACATAGTGAGTTCCAGGACAGCTGGGGCTAGAGAGAAACCCTGTCTCAAAAAGACCAAAAAAAAAAAAAAAGTGTTCTGACCAACTGTAGCATGCAGCTTATTTTGGTCAGAAGTTTGTGATGTCTAAATTTATTTAGAGAGAGAGAGAGAGAGAGAGAGAGAGAGAGAGAGAGAGAGTTATCTACAGAGCTGCTATTTTTTCCCAGAATTGATATCAGTTACTGTAAGAACAACAAAAAAATTAAAAACAGGGCTAGGTACAGTCTAACTCTGGTAGTATTTATTGAGCCTGCACAAGACCCTGGGTTTGAGCTCCAAAACTGCCAAGAAAAGAGGGAGGGGTGCAGCTAATATCCATTGAAGGTTTACTATACACCATGCATTATTTTAAATAACACAAAAATCTTATAATTTATATACTTGTAGATCAAGATAAAACATAGAATTAGTGACTTCACTGTAATTTGTTTAAAATTAACAACTACTCTGACAGAGTAAGCAAAGAGCAAAGTATGCAACCAAAAGCCGTGCTGTGGAAACTCCTGGGGTTGGGAAAGGCGCCTGAAAATACTGACTCCTGTTTTCACGCCTGAATAACAAAAAAAGGAAGCCAGCACACACTTCACCTCTTCACTCAATGTCCTAGGAAAGAAACTGTGGAGCACAGACGCGGCCCAGTGGCCACTTGTGGTATTACAGGTGTTGTTGGCAAGTGGGCAGAAACACAAAGGTGTGGTCACAGTGAGGTGATCAATTTTGCTGCACCCTTACAAGCTCAGGAGAGTAGAAACTGACGCCAAAGGAGACTGGCTGGTTCTCATCCAAGTAGAGTGAGAATATAAGTCAGTAAGGACTTCCAAAGGGTGTGTGTCAAATAGCACTGGAAAAAAGAAAGCTGTGGAAGCTCCTACAAAGAAAGAAGGCGGCTAGCACCACTTGAACTAATAGAGGTGGCAGTTAATAAAGCAAAAGGGAGCTAGGTATGTCTAGCACAGGCCAGCTAACCCGGCTACCTCCAGCTCCTTGAACTCTTACCTCTCTCCTGTCACGCTCTCCCTGACCTCTGGGTCTTTGCTGGCTATTGCTTCTGCCTATAATATTCCTCCCCATCCCTTGGGTTGCTAACTGTACCTTCCTCAGGCTCTTGGGTTTGATCTGTTTGAGAGTGGCTGTGTTAAACAGATACAGAGGAGTCAGTAAACATCTCAACTGGGGACCAGGCAGCAACAGCTGCAGCCTCAGGGGCCTACTTACTCTCTCTGATGCCCATCCTCTGTTTCCAGGGAATATCCCGACAGAGCTGCTCCAATATCCAGTCCGCTTCTTTCAGATCAATGAAGCCAGGATATAAACACACCCTTCAATGCAGAAAGAACCATTATCAGCTAAAGTGCACAGGAAAGATGAGTGAGACTAACCACTGGCAGAATCCGTTCACTTAAACCACTGCCCTAATGGAAAGATAAAATCACCTCACCACCTCCCAAAGCAAGCAAAGCCTAATGTCACCCAGGTTATGATGATCTACGTGGGAGATACACTCCTTTCATGTTAAGACTAGAGGGGTCAGGAAGAACAAGGGGGCATGGGGGCTTTTTGTGGATTTGTGGCTCAAATATTACTCAAGAACTTGAACCCTATCAAGAAGACAGAGAGCAGAAATGACTAGCACTGCTTAGCTATGAAATTGTGGGCAGGCTACTATCCTGAACCTTGGTCTCCAAGAGTAACCCAAAGCGACATCCATTTCATAAGGTCACTGTGAAGAGCAAACAAAGTGACTACTAAAATGCACCGGACTATGTTACATTACCAAGAGGTAGTTTAAAAAAAAATTGTTTTTTATGTGTACTCATGCTTGTGTACCCATGCATGCAATGCCCATGGAGGCCAGAAAAGGGCATTGGATCTCCTGGAACTGGAGTTACAGACGGTTGTTAGCCACCATGTGGGTGTTGGGAACCAAACCCCAGTCCTCTGGAAGAGCAGCCAGGGCTCTTAACCACTGAGTTATCTCTCTAGTCCCAAGAGGTTGTTTTTAAAACTATGCCAATTCTAAAGGAAGATAGATGATTATGACTATCAAAAAAAAACATCCAAACAGGGCTGATCTCATTAAATACATTCTTATTCCAATGGAAATAAATTCTTATTCAACTGAAAAATTGTTTTGGTTCTTTTTCCTAAGAAATGTTCCGGAAGTCAACAGAATACGCTGTTGAACATCTTGGTGAGAGCAAATCTCTCTGAAGGTGCACTTAATTATTTGGAAGATCCAGCGCTCACCTGACTCTACAACCAACACAACACAACTAGTGTCGCAAGATTGTTAACTCTCCTTTAAAGGGGAGGCTCCCAAAAGTTGTTAAAACCACAGCAGTTCCAGTTGACTACACAGAACCCTCCGTGTCTGACAGAAGCTCCTTTTAAGAAATTTTGATGTGTAAGTTCTGATATATTTGTTTTAAATATATTATTAAATAATGGTAATTAATACTTATGCAATAAGATGGCATTTCCAAAATAGTGGCTAATGTTTAACTTTACTAAAATCCACTTTAATGTAGTAATATGATACACATAATTAATATATAAGTAGTTCATGAAGTACAATAGTAATTACAGCACTCATAACATAGAAGCCCAGGCTACAGTCAACTCTAATACTAAGTTACTGCATGGCACTAGAGAAAGGATTCTGCTTCTCTGGGCCTCACTTCCTCATGGGAAACTGGGGCAGTAAAAGTTCCTGTATCTGACAGAGGCTGTGAAAATGTTTTGAAGCTAGAAATATTTTGTAGAAAGGAAGTATCACCCAATTCTTATTTCTCAAGAATTTAGGGGTTGGGGCTGGAGAGATGGCTCAGTGATTAAGATCACTGACCGCTCTTGCAGAAGACCCATGTTTGCGTCCCAGCATCCACATGGTGGCTAATCACGTCTGTTAACTCCAGTTCTAGGGGATCTGACACCCTCCTCTGTCCTCTTCGGACACTGAATGACACAGGTGCACTTATATACATGCAGGCATAACACTTATGCAAAAAATTAATAAATAAAAATAAATTTATAAAAAGAATTTAGAGGTAAGAATTACTATTTCAAATAAAGGAGAAGACAATTTCAAAAGAGATTAACTTGATGATAATTAGCTACTTTCAGATGAGGATTCACTTACCTAGATATACCTGTGGGTGCCAGGCTGATTTCAAAAACACCTTCCCTGCTAAAAACAGATGAAAAAACACTTGTTAGCATGAGACAAAGCAATCCGCCTCCCAGGGACAGTCCTGGCTCACTAAGATCATTCAACTACTGAGAACACTATGAAGAAGGCATTAAACTCCACTTTATTCTACCACTGAGATAAGGGGCAAAATAGGTGCACCATTCACGGTACTGGGGACAGAACCCTGATAGGATCCGGCCATGAAGACAAAAGTGGGGTGGTGTAAACTCTGATTCTACCCCTCAGGTTCCATCCATACTTTAGGCTGATAGGACCCAAGAATCTATCACCAAAGAAGTGTCAAATAGAAAGAAAGAGGTGCTCCCCTTTGGAGAGTTAGGAAAGGCAATGCATTCCAGGTGGCAAGCACATCTCAAGGCTCTGAGCTGCTGTTGCTTCCAAGATACATGTCTAATGAGGTCCTCCCTGAGTAAAATCCTTCGGTGGCTCCCACAACTGCATTCTCGGTCCTTTGATCTAGCCCCCTCTTCTGCCTACTCCCATAGACTTACCATCTTCAGCATCAACTGCTTGAAATTCTCTCAATATGGCACTACACGTTTCTAGCCCATGCTTTTCTGCATGATGGAATGCTTCCCTGCCAGTCAGCACCCCCTATCCAACCCACCTCCAGCTTTAGCCCAGTGAAAAATGCTAACTTTCCCTACAAAAATCTCACTTAACATCACTTCTAAACCTTTCCTGACCTTTAATCTACACTTAATTTAGTAAAATATGGAAAGGCACAAAACTTGCAGCTATGCAGGATCAAAGGTCCATGATCAGAAAAGCAGACAGGCCATCTATTAAGACTAGTTAACAGAAAATATACACAGAGAGTTTTCATATTACACTCTCTCATGGGAGTCAGTGGTTCATGATCTTTGAGCTGAGCCTCTGGAAGCCAAAAGTGTATGCACAGCTATCATACATTCAGTAACTACCACATTTCTATAGGAGTCATTTATACAGTTTCCCAGAGTTTGAATTGAACATTTCAGTGTGATATATTTTAGCCTGTACCTGCAAAGTGGTTCACTTTAAATACGGAGTACATTTCTGGGCACTGAAACAAAACCTAGTAGAGTTAACTTTATAAACAGCATTGTCAAACCCAACAGGAGTAGCTTCTGTTATTTTTCTATTGACTTGCAAATTCCCAATTGCCGCCCCCCCTCACCCCCCCAGCCTGAACGGCCCATTTGTAATAGGTTCCACGGCTTTTATTCTCTTTATGGCCAACAGAGGCAATGCCACAAAGCTATTATTAAAACAGTCAAAGACCATTAGAACTGGGCTGGGCTTAAGTGATTACAGTTCAAATCCTTATTTGTTCAAGGAAGCAAAATCACAAAGAGGAGACTATTATTTGTGTTAGCTTTAAATTCTTGTAAGACATACAGACCAATCTAGAACTATCTAAAGAGTATAACAGACTGCCCATGGGCAAGAACATCCCTCAAGTACTAATTTGAAAAATAAAAAGAGAGCTTTTACTGACAATTGATTTACATCAGGAGGAAAGTGAGTAGCAGAAAGAAGTCAAAGTACCTCTCACCAGCTTTGAGAAGAACATTTCAGACACAGATCAATACAAGAGGAGCACTTTAGTATCATTTACATTGCTCTGGAACAAGCGTGTGGCTTTAATAACGGGCTGTAAGGTCATGTTAGGCACAGCAGCTTTTGTAAAAATTGCTAGTAAAACCGTTCTTACAGGTTTCTCAAAGAGCCAACCTCCAGTGACTCAGGAAAAGTCCCTCTCTGTCCTTAGGTTACTTTTACACATGAAACAGGGCCAGGATATTGACCCCAGAGGCAAAATTTACTGTGCAGAGATCTTGCTGCATTTTTCATGCCATCAGCAAATCTAGAAAGTCTTCTCAAAAGATCAATTTTAAGACTGAGGTAGGACTGTTCTAGGCAAAAATTTAGTTACTGGGCCACCTCTTTCAAGTGGAAAAACTGCTAGGGAAAGGCCCCGGCTCTCCAGTCTTGTGTGCGCAATGGTTCCAGGTAGCAGCAACTTACTTAATCACTCTGGGTTCCGGTGCTGTGCGTACCACCTGCAAGAAAAGAGGCAGATTAATTCCACAAGGTTCCTGAGGGTTGGAAGACGCCGTATCTTTTCATTTTTAGTCAAAACAAGGCAGGCTTACAGTTATCCTTTTCATCCCCACCTCCCATTCCCCCACCAGAGACTCTGGTCTCTGATCTGCTTAGAACTAGTTCACACTTGCTAGCAGACAGAGAAAGAGAATACAATTAGAATTAAACAATTTCCCTATTGCCAGCAACAAGGCAAAAAAGATTTTTTTTAAAGCAGAAAATACATTAGAAAAGGACTTCTGATAATTATTTATACAATCTTTACTATAGCAAGAAGCCTGATTTTTAAACTCTTCCATACTATTAAAAAGTGAGGGGAAGCCAGGTGTGGTGGTATATAGCTTTAATTCCAGTACTTTGGAAGCAGAGGCAGAAGGATATCCATGAGATCAAGACTAGCCTGGTCTACAAAGGGAGTTCCAGGCTAGCTGGGGCTATCAGGAGATCCTGTCTCAAAACAATAAGAAAAAAAAGGTGAGAGGGATGAGGAGATGGCTCAGCTGATAAAATGCTTGCTATGCAAGCATGAGGAACTGAATTCAAATCCTCAATACAGACATCAATGCTGAGTGGTTGTCACAGTGAACCCATAATCCCAGAGCTTGGGACAAGTGACCCCCAAGGCAAGATGCCTAGCTAGACAAGCTGATTTGGCAAGCTCTAGGTTCAGATGAGAGACTGTGCCTTAGCATAAGTTGGGGAGCAATTGAGGGAGTCATCTGCTATCAACCTCTGGCCTACACACACACACACACACAGAGGACTGAACTAGCACTCAGGGGTACAGTACTTGCCTAGCATGTACGAGCTCTGGGCTTGATCCTCAGCACTGTAACACTCCTGTCCCCGCAAAAGTGAACCTTCTGTTTCTTACATTTTTCCCCAATGGGAGAAAAAGTTTGAAATCAGGCATTGCTATAGTAACTGAAATTTCTGAAAGAGATGTTCTGTAACAGCTCTGAAGACAGTATCATTTTAGAACTGTTCTTAGATTACTCATGCAAAATCCAGTCACAGTATAGCCTCTAGCTGGTAGTCAGGGTATGGCTTTTCCCTGCCAAAAGGGGCATTTAGGGATATATGGCCATACGCTGGGGGAAGAATGCAAAGACTATTCAGGCATACAAGGTAACTGAAATATTTCACAATTCATTATTATTATAACAATCCTTTTGTTCTGTTATTCATTAGTAATTTAGTAAATTTATTCAGCTGTTATTTGAGTGTATGCTATATGAATATGGTTTTTATAAGCAAATCTTTGTTACTATTGAAGGAGAAACCACAATTTACTTGCTGGGGTTCTTTGAACACAAATTCTCTGTCAGATAGATGTTGCTCCTTGTTCCTCCAGGTCTGAGCAGGTGTCTGGGGAAGACGGCTCCTAGTAGCATTAGCTGAAAGGAGAAAAGTCTGAAACTAGGGAAAAGTCTGTTTTCATTAGCTACTGAGCAAGAGCCCATAAAAACCACCTGAAGATGACTTATGACATCAAGATGTAATTAGTGGGGTCAACAAACAACCTCAATGCACTCTGGAAGATTGAGGGTATTGACTAAATAGGAGAAACTGAATTCCCATCCTTAGCACACCATCAACAAAATCAGACAAAATGCCAGCCACATTAAAACAAAACAAAACAAAAAAAAACTGTTAAAAACTGAAGTGGAAGTTAATAATAAACCAAAAGGATATAGGATATAAACAAAAGATGACAGTTGTCCAAACACACACATACTCCTGCAGGTTCTTGCCTGGTTGAGCAGGGGCCTGGCTCTTAGCAGGAGCAGCCCAGCCTCCCTGCACTCGGGCTCGCTGTCTTTTATCCTCCATGTTGAACAAAAAGCTTTCTGTTCTGAGCTTTCAGAAGATTTCATTCCCAATTCAAGCACAGAATGGTTCTCTGTTTAAAAGAGAAACAAATGCTTTATTAAAGGCTGTAAGAGCTTAGCCTATTAAGGCTAAGACATGGCTCAACAGCAATCAGAGTGTCCATATAAAATTAGTTTTGGTCATCTCCATCAAGGAGCCTAGGTCACTTGGGACTGCTGGCTTATCACAGCACTCTTAAAATAAACCCCATTGCAAAAAACTCTAAAAGGCAGACTCTATCACAAGCCATGCTATCCTTGTTAGTCTCAAGAGCAGAACATGAACAAATTCAAATATTCCCCTTATCCTTAACATGAACAATGTAAAAAAGGCCAAGATTCAGTTTCCTAGAGCATTCCCATTTATCACTGGCTGTCATAAACTTCCCTGGAAGCAAGTAAAAGCACCCATGGCAGATGAATCCAAAGTTTGGGTTACATGAAGACAGGTACAGAAAGACTAATACTGCATGATCTCACACTTAAGACTCTAAAAAAGCAGAACTCCTAAGAGTAGAATGTGATTACTTGTGGCTAGGGACAGGGGATGGATAGGGGAAAGGAAGATATACATCAAAGGTACAAAGTTTCAGTTGGACAAGAGGAATAAGCTTTAGTATCTACTGCATAAAATGGTGATCAAACCACTCTATGTTTCAAGGTTTCTAGTAGATTTTAGGGGGCTGGAGAGATGGCTAGTAAGAGCATTGGCTGTATTTTAGGAGGACCGAGGATCAGCTTCCAGCACTCATACGGTGGCTAACAACTATTCTTAACTCCAGTTCCAAGGGATTCAATGCCCTCTTCTGGCCTCTGTGGGTAATGCACAACATGGGTGCACTTGCATGCATGTAGGCAAAACACTCATACATATCAGAGATTTTAAATATTTTCATCACAAAAATGTTATGTGAGCCAATAGAGTTATTAGTTTGACTTATTCTATAAGGAAAGCATATGTCAAAACATCACAATATATCCTACAAATATACAATGATTTTTCAACTAAAAATACAATTTTAAGTTAAATCTGGAAATATCTATGTTCCACTTCAAAAAAATATGATTTAGGAAGGATATAGCAGTGTATGGGATGAGAGGCTGCATGTAGACAGACCAAAAGGGTTAGTGAGTTACCCAAAGTTACCAGGCAATCAATACTGACTGAAAGTTTAAATTTTATTAAGTTCCAGTCTTCCATTAATCAGAAACCCCCACATTTTTGCCTATCCATTTTAGCCTATAGCACACACAGAAGTATGCACAGCTACAAGAAACAACCCAGGAGGGTCTGGAGGTGCATTCTGAATCTATGTGCCACTTCTTCATGAGTCTCTGAAAGTTTCACATTTCAAGTGCTCAAAGACAAAAAACTCATTTTATTGTTAATAAGCCCACAGACTCCCAGGCCCCATCCCCTAGTCTTTCTGATTTAAAAGAATAAATCTAGGACCTGGAATCTATGCTTAACAAATTTTCACTAGAGGATGGGGAGATGGCTCAGCAGTTAACAGCACTGGCTGCTCTTGCAAAGGACCCAGGTTCAGTTCCCAGCACCCACATGGTGGTCAACAACTGTCTAACTCCAGTTCCAGAGGATGTGAGGCCCTCTTCTGGTCTCCATGGGCACTGCATGACATGAGTGCACTTGCATGCAGGCAAAATGCTCATACATACAAAATAAAAGCAAGTTTTGCTACGTGAAGGGCTGGAACTGCCTCAACACACACGTGGCACACACATAAATAAAATCTTTAAATAAAGGTAGAGGGCTGGAGAGATGGTTTAGTGGTTAAGAGCACCTACTGGTCTTACAGAAGACCCGAGTTTGGTTCCCAGCACCCATGTGAAGTGGTAACTCCAGCTCCAAGGGATCTTACACCTTCTTCTACATTTCATGACACCTGCACTTTCACATGTGCAGATACCTACATACAAATATACACATACCTACAACCACAATTAAGTCTTTAAAAGTTTCTGTAGGTGTTAAGAATTAAGTGCTATAATCTCAGGCTTGGGTTAAATATGAGATCTTTAAAAAAAAAAAAAAAAAAGCTTATCTTTAACAGGTAGGGCCATGCAGAGTCTGCCATGTATCCTAAAGAGCTAATGACATAATCAAAACCAACTCTGTTCTCCCAAGATGTGTGAAGGAAATCTCCAGCACCATTTTCTTGGAACTGAGATCTCAAAGGCTTAGCAAGACTAGTTATGATCTCGGAAGACCTATGACCCGTGCACACTTGTTGCTCCGTTTACCTGGGAGTGATGTCATTTGCCAGGGAGCAACAGATGAAAAAAAAAAGATTCTCGGCTCAGACTTACTCAGTTTGCGTAGTCCCATAATCTAATTAGTAACCAAGTTTCCTTCTGGGAACCTGTATGCAGACAAACCCTCAAGGGTTCTGGAGGTTAACAGAAACCCGCTTTGAATCGAGAACTGCCACTTTTCCACCCGCGAACCCTGAGGCAGATGACTTCACCTTCCTGAGTCCCAGCCTCTCCCTCAAACAGAAGAGCGAATACTTCGCTTGTGGGGGTAAGGCCCAAACTAAGCGAACCTCTAGGTAGATTACGGGCGAGCTTCTTTCCCTAATTTAGACCGATTCCCTTCCAGGAGGCGCAGGATCAGGCCCCTGCGGTCGTCCAGGCACTTCCGCGCCTGGACTCTCAGCGACAAACCAGGAGGGCGCAGCTGCCCTGCGTGAGGTCGCCCCGCCTGTGCCGGGAGAAGTCCCTAACGCTCCGGCCAGCTCCGCAGCGGCAGTTGGGGGAACCTTAAGAATGAGGCACCAACGCCTGCAACGGCCAACCACGGGCCGCGGTTACGTATTTCCTCTTGCGTCACGTACCACCCACCGCTGCTTCCAGTGCGCAGCCTGGGGTCCGGGTAGCCCCATATCCCCGGCGCCTAGAGGGCCGGGTCAAGGTGATGAAGGCCACACAGTTAGCGCTGGAGACAGGGGTTGAGGGTTTTGGCCCTCCGAGTGAGGCGAGGTGGGAATGAAGACGAGTCTCCTAGGCCTAGGCCCTCAGGATCGAAGCTTCCCGAAACTGGAGCCGGTTAAGTGCTGGCAACTTTGGTCCATTGCTGAAAGAGCAAACGCTGCCCAGTGGAACTTGTTGGAAGGGTTTAGGCCATGGTGTCTTCAGCCAAAGGATTTGCAATTTAGCCTGAAAACCATGAAGAGTTCAAGATTCACCTTTTATGTTCCCAAGACAGCCTAAGCATTAAACGTTCATAGCATGTAAAACAGGGAGTGGGACAACGCTCTGTCCCACTAAGCAAATTTTGCCAGCATCTACAGAATTCTATATATCAGAATTTCAGCCCATTGCCACCATTTTCTAGATGTATAATCTAGGGCAAGTACTCCACATCTTTTTTAAATGGTCATAGCTCCTGTTAGGATGATTAAATGAGAGCCATGATGTCTAAAACACTGCAGAAATCTAATAAAGATAGCTAAAAATGTTTTCTGACATATATGAGCTCTTGAGAATCATATTTAAGGTGACCATGTTAAACCGTGCATCTTATAATATGAACACAATATATGTAGCATTCAGTCACTAGTTCATGAAAGTTATTCTCTAAAATTTACCAAAACATGATCACTGTGGAAATCTTTCAAATAAGGCTAATAGTGCTCACCTGAGGAAGCTCAGTGTACCCCATCAATGGACCTATATTGTTCCTGCTGTCAAGTCCAATTTTCACAGCATCTATTATTTTCTGTTATACTTTGTGACATTGGAAGAAAAATTAATTATCCTTGAACTGAAAGGGGAGTTCAAGCTGGACTACAATTTTTACCCCATCCTCCATCACCTAGTAATGTGTCAATGTCTGCTTCTGACTCAGGAATGTTGGCTATATCTCCTAAAGGATGTTATTTCTCTCTTTTCAATGACTACAGTTTTGGAATAGTAACAAAGATACCTAGAATGAATGAAGAGTTCCTAAAAGCAGTGGTTATCTATGTTAGATTTAGGAGAGCAGAAAAAGGAAGGAGTTTAAAGTTTAGAAATAAGAACCAGAGCCAGACCTGCAAGGAATGTGCTCCCTGAACTCAGGAAGCCCACAAAGGGTTGATAAAAGCTGTTCCTCGAGGAATGATTGTCTGCATTCTGAACGGGGAAGAGTCTGTTCTTATATAGGAACTCTCCTGCACACAGCTTCAAGAATTAAACGTTCATAGCATGTAAGACAGGGAGTGGGACAACGCTCTGTCCAATGCCAGGATCTGGTGTCCTTGAGGGTCTCCTTTTCTCAGACAGGCAGGTCAGTTATCTATAGCACAAAAGGAGACAGGTGAGCTCCACAAACAGTCTCTCCAGTCTAGGGAGGGACCAGTTGATAAGGCTTGAGCAAAGCCAGGCTGCTAATTTAGGGCCAGTTAGACACTTTTAGGGATTTATGGCATTCACTAATGAGGCTTGTGGCTCTTCTGCAATTCACATATTCTATCAATCTACAATTCAGCCTTCAAAGAGAATGTTTCTCAAAAATCAGCCCATGGGGGACTGGAGAGATGGCTCAGCAGTTAAGAATACTGACTTTTCTTGCAGAAGACCCGGGTTCAAATCCCAGCACCCACATGGCAGCTAAAAGTTCCACGGAATCCGACTTACATACATGCAGGAAATACATGCATACACATAAAATAAAAATAATAAATAAAATTTGAAAAATCAGCCCATGGCCTGTTGGTATCTGAAATCAGGGAACTTTTTAAAACAGAATCACAGACCTGGAGAGATGGCTCAGTGATTGATTTTTGTGTGTATGTGGTGTGAGTTTGTGTGCCACATGAGTATGGGTGCCTATGGAGACCTGAAAAAAGGACTGGATTCCCTGGAGCTAGAGTTACAGGTAGCTGTGAGTCGCCTGAACTTGGATACTGGGAACTGAAATCTGGTCCCCTGGAAGAGCAGCAAGCACTCTCAACTGAGCCATCTCTCCATCGATTTTTGTTTGGCTGCTCTTGCACAAGACCCAGGTTTGGTCTCTAGCACCCACATGGTGGCTGGCAACCATTCATAATTCCAGTTTTAGGGATGGCTCTGTGCAGTTGCACGTACAGGTGCATCTGCATACATACAGGCAAAACAAATATTTAAAATTTGAAAAATAATTAAAACGAAAACCCGGAATCACGTCTGGATGTGGTGGTTCATTCTTGTAATCCCAGCATTTGGGAGGATGAGACCAAAGCCAGCCTCAGGCACATAGCTAATTTGAGGCCAACCTTGGCTAACTAAGGCCCTGCCTAAAACAAAAGAAAACAAAAACAACAACAACAAAAACAGACAAACGAACAACAACAACAAAAACAAAAAGCAACTCCCCCAAACCCAAATAACAAAAAAACCTGGGCTGGAGAGATGGCTCAAGTTGTTTAAAAGTGCTTGCTGCTCATCCAAAGGTCCAGATTTCAGTCCCAGCACCTAAGATTAGATGACTCACAACCACCTTTATAACTCTAGCTCCAGGAAATTCAGTGCCTTTTTCTTAGCGGTGCCCAAGGTAACTGTGATGCATAGAAAGTTTGAAAACCTTTGGGACACAAGGCAGAATGAGAAATCAATCCAGTTTTCTTAAAACGGAGGGTTTTCCAAGACCATAGGAAATGGTTCACGTAAGTATACAGTATTATAAACTTGTCCTTCATGGTCTGGGAAGTCTCATTTTGACCTTGGTTTCCTTATTTCTATTTACAGTATTTATGTTTCATCAGCAAGGGTGGAGGTAGTGGAGACCATGGGAGAGGAAAAGAAGTTGAGATTCTTTGCCAGTTAATACACTGACTCCTAGCTCCAAGTCTATCCTTTATTTCCTGGTTCAGAATATTAGAACATTTATCCTGTGTGATTTTGTTTAATGGGCAGTAAGCTTCATTAACGCAGAATGCTATAGGAACATTAAAAGAGGATGGGCCCATACCGTTGCTCTTTATTTCAGTGTGAACCTCTCAACTAGACTCTTCCATGCTCTATGGTCAACAGTGTTTGGCATGTGCCTATGGCTTAGTTATGACATTAACTTTAAAATAAAAAAATAGGGGCTGGAGAGATGGCTCACTGGTTAAGAGCACTGACTGCTCTTGCAGAGGATCCAGGTTCAATTCCCAGCACCCACATGGCGGCTATGGACCGTCCTTAACTCCAGTTCCAGGGAAATCCAAAGCCCTCCTCTGACCTCCGCTGCATTGCACGAAATGGGTGCACTCACATATATGCAGGCAATACACGCATACACATGCACTCACATACATGCAGGCAATACACACATACACATGCACTCAGATACATGCAGGCAATACACGCATACACATGCACTCACATACATGCAGGCAATACACGCATACACATAAAATTAAAATAATAAATAAAATATTTTAAAAATAAAAAAAACCCTCTACGTCTATTAGCCAAAAGCCTGATCTAAGTTGTCACAGTGAACACATATGGTCTGTTACCTATTTTCAAGTTTGACTTACAGTGGTCCCAGATGGCCCATAGTCTACTTCAGACACAAAGACTTGGGAAGAATTGGATGATGCTGCGTATCATAGCTCATCCAACACACTACTGACTCCTGCCCACAGTCAGATGAGTTTTGTGGAATGACTCTGGGTATCGTAAATTCAGTGTGATGGTGACCTCTAGGCAGCTATGTCCCATTTTAAACCAATTAATATGGCCCTTTGTTTTGGATATGCAGCTGCAGACTTTTTTCCTCTATATCAATTTATGAGAAACATTCTAATTTTATTCTCATAGTTTTGCTTCTGGTCATTTCAATTCTGGTGTCTGTGATACAGATCATACTATAAAAGCTAACTCTGGTCCACTATAATGATGGCATTATGTTGACTGTATAAGATGAGCAGTGAGAAATTAATTAAGAGGCAACTATAGGGTGCGAGATAGGCCCCATAGAAAATCAGTTGTCCAGGCCAGAGAGATGGCTCAGTGGTTAAGAACACTGATTGTTCTTGCAGGAGACCCAGGTTCAAATCCCAGCACCCACATGGCAGCTAACAACTGTCCATAACTCCAGTTCCAGGGGATTCAACAGCCTCTTCTGTCCTCCACAGGCATTGCACAATATGGGTGCACTTACTTACATGCAGGCATAACACTCATACACAATAAAAGAAAAATACTGAAAAAAAAAAAAGAAAAAGAAAGAAAACCAGTTGTCCACAACCTCAGTGATGTTTTGGGATATTCCCTCCAATGTGAAAGATAAACTGGTGCCTTTCACTCTACCTCTCTCACACACAAAAAGATGCTCTGCACTCATAAGGAACATCACCCATAAGACTGCTAATACTGAATGTGGTATCCATCATGAGACGGCTTTGCAATGAGTTTGGTTTGCAGAGTAAGTTGTTCTAGCACTTGGACCTTATGATCAAGGAGAGATGATAACAGTTAAGTGTGTCTAATGAGCAGTGAGGTTATGATACCTGCACCAAGTGCTAACAGGAGAATCAGAACTCTGAAGTCTTGAAGCAAATCTATGACCTCTTCTATAGATTCTCTCTCCTCTCTTTCTCTCTCTCTCTCTCTCTCTCTCTCTCTCTCTCTCTCTCTCTCTCAGATAGGGTCTCCCTGTAGCTGGCCTGAAACTCACTGTGTAGATCAGGCTGACCCCAATCTCACAGAGATCCACCTGCCTTTGCCTTTTGAGTACCTAGGATTAAAGGCATGTGCAATCATATCTGGCATAGTCTCTTTTAGATAAAGTTTATGACTGGTTATTAGGCCTTGGTAACACAGAATGACTCACACTGGG